AGAGGAGAGGAGAGGAGAGGAGAGGAGAGGAGAGGAGAGGGCCTGGTGTGCTGGCATGAAGAGCTATGCTGGAGGAGCCATGCTCAGCCTTTGTCTAGATTTGGCTCAGGAAATACCCAGAGGGAGGGAGTGGGAAAAGGTTTTATTCACAGCTCACTAGAGTGAAGTAACATGCTCCTTGCCTCTCCCTCCAGAGACAAGCAATGTGTTCCGCCGACCTTCGCCTCTCTCTTGGTTTTCCTATCTTAGCTCTTGTTGGCCTCCTTCCCATTGTGCCCTTGCAGAGCAAAGGCTGAGTCTTTGATCCACAGGCCTCCCCTGCATGCAAAGAGTTCTGCTGGATCGCGGTTCTGAAGGAATCTCCATTGTTTTCTCTACAGTTGTACTATACTCCCACCAAGAGTGTGCAAGAATTCCCTTTCTTCAAAACAGTATTCAAGTAGACAAGAAGTTGAAACATCAACAGTGAATGAAGCCATTAGGATAGAGCTCACAGTAGAGTGCTCGTCTACCTTAAAGAAGGAAATCCCATCATTTTTTAACCCCATGGATAAAACTAGAGGACAATGTACTATGTGAAAAAAGCCAGAGAAAGGACAGATATGGCATGGTTCCCTTTATATATGGAAACTAAAAGTTTTTTTTTTTTTAATTTAATTTATCAACTCACAAAGAAGAGAATAGTTACCAGCTAGGACCTAAGAAGTGAAGGAATGACATTGGCCCAAGGGGACTGTAATTGTTAAAGTTCATTTTTCTCACTGCTGTGATCAACAGTCTAACAAAAGCAACTTAAAGGAGATACAGTTTATCATGGCAGGGAAGGAGAGGTGTCTGGCCACATTACATCCACAGCCAAAAAGCAGACTTAGGTCATGCTGGTGCTCTGCCAGCTTTCACCTTCTTTTTCAGTCTGAGATTCCAGACCATAGAATAATGCCACCCACATTTACAGTGGCCACCTCAGTTAACTCAGTGTAGAAACTCCCTCACAGACGTGCCCAGAGGCCGCTCTCCTAGCCAGTTCTAGACCCTGCCTAGTTGACAGCATTAACATCACAGGCACAGACTTCCAGCTGTAAGATCAACCAGCTCTTGAGATCTGATGCACAGTATGGAAACTAGGCTTCACAGCCTTGTGTTATTTACTGGGAATTTGCCAACAGGGTGGATCTTAGATGTTCTTATTGAGGAAATGACACTAGGAGCGTGTGGTTACATTGGTTAGCCTGAAGTGTATTTGATATACACTTTGTCAATGATTTTCTATAGCTTGGGAGAACCATTTTGCCCTACGGCCCAGAAAGAAGTAAAGGGCTTCAAAATGCCAGCAGTTGTAGGGCAACAGCAATGATACCCATAGCCTGAATCATATGACCCCTACATGTATACCCACATCATTAAGAACCTCCACTCAGGTAAAGCGAGGTCCTTGACTGTAGCACAGAAAAGAATTTCAGAAAAGGCCAGAGTTAATAAAAGTTAGTAAGTTTATTAAGCAGAGGTAGTACACATTGTAGATTTAAGGACAGGGGTTGAAAAAGAGGCACCAGGAAGGACAAAGATGACATCCATGTGGGCTTCTCAAAAGAAAAGAAAGAAAGTCATATTTACATGTTATCTTAGTTTGCTTTCTATTACTGTCATAAGCACCAGGACCAAAAACAACCTGGGGAGGAAAGGGTTTATTTCATCTTACAGCTTACTTACTGCCCATCATGGAGGGATATCAGGACAGGAACCTGGAGGCAAAGGCCATGAGGAACACTGTTTACTGACTTGCTCTCCAGGCTCATGTTCACCTACTTTTCTTATACACCCCAGGACTTCCTATCCAGGTATGGAACCACCATCAGTGGACTAGGCCCTCCCACATCAATCATTAATCAAGAAAATGACCCCACAAACTTTCCTACAGGCCAATCTGATGGAGGCATTATCTCAAATGTGGGTTCTTCTTCCCATATGACACTAGCTTGTATAGAGTTGACAAAACACTGCTTGACACAGGTATCTTCACAATGGATGCATGCACATCCATTGACAGCTTTCTAAGACTCACTGATCCAGCTTCAGAAGCCCACCAGTGGCAAACAGCTGCCCTGCCAAAGCAAGAGAAAGTGTAACCAGAGAGCCAAAGCAAAAAGGAAATACTACCGGGACTGGGTGAACTGCTCAGTGCAGATTCAGACATGGATTCCATACAGGAACAACAGCTACACCCAAGAGTAGCTATTGCACATCTAATTCATCTTGAGAATTTCAATGGTCAGCCATAAAGTAAATGCTCTGGCTTCAACACCTGAGAAAAAGGCTGAGTAAACAAATAAATGAGGCCTGAGAGTATAGCCCAGTGATTAAGCACGTGCTTAGCATGGGTAAAGCTCTAGGTTCAATCCCCAGCACAGCACATAAAAATAGTAATCTTTTTAAGTAAAGCCCTTGTTCTGCATAAACTAATAGACTTGGCATCATAATTGTCAGTCTATGTATTTTTTTCATATTGTTAAAACACTATAACGATGCTTAAATGTTGGGAAAGTGAAAGAAATTCCAATGAGGTCCCAGCAAGGCCTGCGGAAGGATGCAGATGCTGCCAGTAGAGTTCACCACTCTGGGAGCACCTGCTCCAGCCTCTGCCTGGTTTCTAAGAGCAAAAAGGCAGAACAATTGGCCAAGCTCAGTGGAACCTGCTGACAAAGGGGCCCTCCTACACACTAGCAGAACAGAGGGATGATCTGAACCCACCAAGGACTGGACCAGTGCAGCCCAGGGCAGCCAGAACTAAAGAGCTCGAAACAGAGCACTGGCCCCAGTATACTGGGTTCTCCCTGAGGTCAGTGGGACTCATCCCACAAGGGCTCCCACCCACCCACGCTGTCATTACTGGGAAGAGAACTGCAGAGCCAGGACCAGGACTGGACACAGCATGCATGGAGAAGCTGGGATCAATGCAGGCCATGGTTTCCAGGGGTGGTGAAAGCAGGGAGGAACCTTCACCCCAAGCCTGTGTCATCCAGACCCTGTGGGATGGTGCCCATGCTGTAGAAGTCAGTTTCTGGGGTAGGAATGGGGCTCAGTGTTCCAGCATTTGCATAGTAAGCACAAGGGCAATCTCTGGGCCAACAAAAAGACAATCAAATTAAGTTCGATTGACGTAAAGTCAATTTACTCTCTTTAATAAGGGAGGGGGAAAAAGGTCGGTTTTTTAGAAACGTTTTCAGAATCAAGGAAGTGAATTTCTTTAATCCTCTGCACATTAAAAACAAATAAGTGTTTCAATAAGGGAAAGGAATGAATTGGGTGCAAGTATCCCGGGGATCTTTTTATAGTATGGAGTGTGAGAATGTTAATTAAAGGAATCTCAGAACGAAGAGGGCCTGAGAAGGGAAGGAACGGGAGTTTAATTTTAGGTGTTGTTTTGTCGAGTTAACAAAAAGTCACTTCCCTGAGTTACTCCCAGCTATTCTCAGGAACTTCATCTCCCCCCCCACCCCCCAAAAAAAGCCCCAGTTGAAAGTGCGAAGCATAGAAAACCAATTTAATGAAAACTTCTCCCAGAGAAGGACCTGTTAAGAGTGAAGAGCACAAATTAGCAAACCCTGGGGCACTGTGCGAGCATCGAAGACAAGCAGGTATCATCTAAACAGAGTTCTTCACACAGCTGTACACGTCCATCTTTGAAACTGAAAATGTGAAAAAGGAAAAAGAGATGCTTCCACACAAGACTTTCTAGAACTGAGTGCCACTGCACCTGTCAGAATCCATCAAATGATACATCTCTGAGATGACTAATAATCAACTAGTGACAACTGTCACTACCCTCCCTGGGGTCCACACTCTGCCCAGTGAGGCTACAGACAAGGTCTCTAGTCCTCCTTGGACCCTGCAGGAAGTTTTTTTTATTTCTGTTTTGTGAGCCCAGACGCTGAGTGGCAAAATTGCCCGCTGTCACTTTGTTAGTGACCAAGAGAGCTGTGCTTCCCACCCATCTCTGCTTCCTAGCTCAAGTCATTTGCCCTGGGCCACCCAAGAGCAGTAAAGTGGACATGAAGCATGCAACAGGAATCCAGCCACACAGAGAGAAAGGGGGATTGTCTGAGGCTGCAAGGGGACCAGCAGAGGGACGGATGAGAAGGGAGGGAATTGGGGGGTAAGTAGAAGAAAGTACCATAATGTATGTTATAGGCATGCACCTAATTCCATGGGGCACCTGCTGAGATTTCAAGATGCCTGTATCCAGGAACAAAGAATTAGACCAGGAACACTGATAGTTTTAGAAATGGAGATTGATGATCAATAAGAAAGTCAGGCCTGGAGAGATGATTTAGTGGTTAAGGGCATTTACTTCTATCAGAGGAACAGAATGTGGTTCCCAGTACATAGAGCAGCTTACAGATGCCTATAACTCCAGCTCCAAGGATCTGATACCTACTTCTAGCCTCAGTGGTCAAGCTGGAAAACACACACACACACACACACACACACACACACACACACACACACACGTGTATACAGAAAGACACACATAGAGGACAGAGGCAGACAGATATCCTGGGCTTAGCCTCAGGCCCCTAGATTCTGTCTTAACAAAAATTCACATAGCATCTACCTTTCCTGGCTTTTAGAAGTATTTTTCTCACACACGCTCTGTCCCTCGCATGTTGCCCTGGTGAGGATGAGCTCCAGTCTTTCTGCTAATGGCTTGTCTGTTGTTATTGTTTCCCACGATAATCTTAATGCATACAGAGCCACCCTCTCCACCTTCTTCTCCTACCACAACACGCAAGTGTGAGAATGGACATGTCATCTGGGGATGGTGCACCTGCAGTCACAATACTTGGAGGGCTGAGGCAGGAGGACCAGAAATACAAGATCATCCTCAGCCTCTTAGTAAACCCAAGGCCAGGCAGGCTTATACGAGATCTTGTCTCAAAATAAACAGGAAAAAAAGTCACCGTGGAACCCATTGTTTTGTATGCTAACTAAAAACAAGCAGTTGGTCTGTTTTAAAATAGATTAAAAAAAGGAAAAAATCTGGCTCTTCACGTGACTGAGACAGGAAGCCTCTGAAGTGGGGCAGAAGAAAGATGGGTCTTTAGCACAGTGAAAATCCTTACTGTTCTTACTTCAGTGATGCAGTGTGATGACCAGTAACACAACCACCTCTATGTGAGGGACCAGAACTCTGCTGTTCCTGTCTTCAAATGAGGACAGCTGGTAATTCACCTCTCCTGAACGTGGCTAGACTTATTTCTAATAAACACCGTAGAAATGACACCGTGTGACTCCTGCAGCATTAAGTAGCAACAGACCCAGTGTCTAGAGAAGAGAAAAAAACAGAAGTGACTACGACCCAAATCTTGCCTGCAGCCGAGCTACTGAATGTTCCTCCTGGGACTGATGCACTGCCTTTGAGTTCCTGGCCGCAAACCTCAAAACAGAGCCTTCAGCACATCCTAGGAATCCTGCTGCTTCTCAAGGAATTTCCTTCCCCGCTGTTCATAAGGAACACTATAATAACTTTCTTTGCCTCTCTCAACCCAAGGCCTTCGGCCTCCATGTTCTGAAGCCTGTGACCTTCAATGAGAAAGTCAAAACAGTCAGGCACGCTGCCTCGATCCTCTGGCCAATTTCCAATCAGCCTATGCTGAACTTCATCTGCTCTACTCATAGACAGAGTTATGTTTGTACTTCTCTCCAGGGCAAATCCCTTCCCTCTCACCTTCTTAACCGCCTCACTCCATTTATTCCTTCTCATCTGCAGTTCGGTCATCCTCTTGACTGGCTTTCCTTCGCCCAACTTCGGAATGTGGGCGGGGCTCCGGGCGCTTCCGACCTCCACTCCTCTGTTTGCTAATTCTGTCTCCCTTGAGGCTTCCTTCTGTCTCAAGACTTTATAGCTAGCTATATGTTAATGACTCAGTTATTTATAGCTATACCCCTAATTCTTCCCCCAAATTCCAGAACTGTAGATCCAACTGCTTTCAAAGACCCTGTATTGGTCATTTGAGAAATCAAAGCCTTTCGTGCCCCTGACACACGTTTCCCTCCCTGTCCTCCCGACTCCCTGTCTTAATGAATAGCACGCCTTTCTTCCCAGATGCTCCAGCCACCTCTGTCTCTCCTTACCCTTTCTCAAGTGCTTTTCCACATCAGTGCCATTCTCTTCTTGCTGTTGCTTTAAAATTCTCTTTCTTGCTACTCAGGACTTAGTCAATTATCACCACCATGGTGATACTTCCTCTGATCAACCACCCTGTAAAACTCAGCATCCCCCTCTTCCCGGACGGATGGACATAGTTTGCCACAGGCTGCTCTTCTGGCTTTACATTCAGTACCTCTTAAATCCTGAAGGCCTAGGAAGTGGGCGTGCCCTTTAAATTATAACACCCTTCTTGTGTAAAGAGCAAATGGCTGGCCAGGCTGTTAGGACAGGTGGCTTCAGAGTTTCAGCCTGTGTCTCCCCTGAATCCCAGCACTCAGTCAGTCAGAGTCTTTCCATGACCTTCACACTTCCCTTTAGCACTTTGCACTATTTAGGAAGCTCTCTGTTCACATCTTTCTGTAATGTCAGCCTCGGCCTTGGAAAACAAGCAAGTGGACAGAGACTATTGTTCATAAATAAATGAAGATCCACTTGGAGTGGAGTGGAGGAAATTAAAGCTTTTATATCAACGGCTACTATTGTTTTATTTCCCAGACTTGATCTACATCTCTATGATCACAAATGATATGAACACATTATTTTGGGATTTGTCTTAAATGACTGAATGATGTTATCTATGCTTTATGTATTTTTCAGAGCAGATATACTATGCCGGCCCTATCAATAATCTTGGAATTGATGTTCCACAGGTAAGGTTTTGGTTTTCTCTTTCTGTGTTGTTACGTAATTATTGTGTCGAAGAGTGGATCTTCAACCCTAGAAGAGAAAAAAGAGGAGGAGGAGAAGAAAGAGGAGGAAGAGGAGGAAGAAAAGAAGAGGAGGAGAAATAGATTTAAATAGTTGAAAACGTTAGCACATGCCGTAGTTAGGAGGCATGCTTGAGATGCTGGCTTTGTCCTCTTGATGCTTCATATTGGTGTTTTGTTGAACCTTTGGGTTGAACCAGAACAAACCCAACTGAGAGTTGAAATGCTAGCATCTTGTCCACAGGATTGGGGGTGTGTCTGTGGGGACTCCATATGCTAGAGTTGCTTGGGCTGTGTAGGAGACAACTAGCTTCCGGCACAGGACAGTTTACAAAACCACAAAGGCTTCAATGTCCCTCAGTTACCATCCTTTCATGGTGTCTTCTGGGATTTTAATCTACTTCTATTTGCTGTGTCATGTATGAAGAACAAGGAAAAGGGGAGAGCTTAGCTGGGGGAGTACTCACCCTGCAAACATAAGGACCTGAGTTTGATCTCCTGAGCCCACGTTTAAAAAGCCAAACTAGGTGGCACATGCTTATAATCCAAATGCTGGAAAAGTAGAAACAGCAGACCCCTGAGACTCCCTGGCTAGCCAGCCTAGTAAGCTTCAGGTCAGTGAGAGATCCTGACTCAAAGAAAAAGGAAAAAGGTAGATGACACATGAATAGTGACACCCAAGATTGTCCTTGGCCTCCACATGCATGTGCGTACGTGGACACACACATATATATATTCAACATACACATATGTCTGCACGTACAAACATGACCACACACATACATGTACACAAAGTAATAAAGGTGTACCTAGCCCACCACTCCAGAGTATCGTACACCCAGGGTAAAGGGGGACCATCTGGTGAGGGTCTCCTTGCTGCTGAGAGCTTTGCAGCATCCTAAGTCAGCACAGGACATTAGGGGACAAAAGGCATCAAAGTTGTTTTAATAACATACCCACTCCTGAGAAAACCCTCCTGTCCCACACTGTGAGCTCCTAAGTCAGTCTGGAACAGGCCTTCTTGGATTTCTGTAGGAATCCTTCTCTCAACTGGAGTCTTCAGCCTTCCCTCTTGGGAATTAGCTCCTAAGTCAGTCTGGAACAGGCCTTCTTGGATTTCTGTAGGAATCCTTCTCTCAACTGGAGTCTTCAGCCTTCCCTCTTGGGAATTTTCCAGTGATCTTCTCAGGCCTTTCTGTGAAATGCACAACGTCTGCCAGGAGGGAAACAATCTCTCCTCACTGCTAGCATGCACAGCCTGAACTCTCCCAGGGAACTTTGCTTCAAATTGTTGCTACTTGAATGCTTTCTCTTTCCTCGTTTTTCTTCTGATACCCCACAAGAGACTGATGTAATAATTGCTAACAATTGGATTTCATTTTGCTTTGCTGGCTAATCAGTTACTCTTAGCAATTCCTATGAAACAAAGTAGGGCAGGGTCTTAAACTCATAGAAGCCCTTTGAAAGGAAATTTGCCCTCAGAGATGTAAAGGGATTTATAGATGTTCCTCATCTTAACTCCGGATTACATCCCATAAACTCTCCATGAGTTGAAAACAGCATAAGTTGAAAGTGCATTGACTCCACTTAGCCTACAGAAAAAACATCATTGCTTTGCTGTATGGTTCACAGAAGAGTGCTGGTCATTTGGTCATGTATTCTCATGGCTGGGCACTGTGACTCACTGGCACTGCTCAGCATGGAAGGGGGTTTGAACTGTGTGACACAGGTCTGGAAAAATGAAAATTCAAAATGCAAAGTAGAGATCCTACTGAGCCCGTTTTTATCTCCCCCGTTGTAACTAGAGCCGTTGTAAGCAGACGCCATATTGCACTCATCTACAATACTTGTAGGACACTCCTCCTTCTTCAGCCAGTCAAGAGCTCTCCAAGAGATCCAATCCAGTGTAAGCCACGCATAGCCGGGTGTCCAGAGCCTGGTTCTCCTCCTCCTCTGGGGCCTGTACCTGGGAAGTAGACACCTGGCAAGCTCCTTCCCACACCCAGCCTGGAGGCCCAACAGAGGACGTAGCCTCCTGGGACACATTCCATGCCGGCCTATGCAGCAGAACAGTTGGGACCTTGATCCCAAGAGAGGCTGTTCACACTGGCCACAGACAGCCAGAGTGTGCTTAGGGCCTCCAGCTCACAGCCAGCTGCCACACAGAGAGCCTCTGCTTTCCTAAGAGCAGTGAGTTGAGAACATTTTAATGAAGGGCCTATTCACATCCCCTCTATCACCTAGACCCTCAGAGATGGGCTCTGAACTAATGGAGATTCCTCTTTAGCCAAAATTCTTTCCACTCAGTATTTACTTTTCAACATCTTGGTTATTTTTCCTCTTTTTTGAAATGTGCTTATTTATGTATCTATATGTATGTGTGGTATGTACTTGTTAGTGTGCACATGTGCATACAAGTGAATGGGTAAAAGGATATGGATGTGTGTGTATAGAGACCTGAGATCTCCATTGGATGTCTTTTCTTGATCTCATTCCATCTTTATTTTTCACATTTATTTATTTACCTATTTTTTTTATTTATTTATTTATTTATTTATTTATTTGTGTGTGTGTGTGTGTGTGTGTGTGTGTGTGTGTGTGTGTGTTATGTGCACACATCACAGTGCATGTGTGGAGTTCAAAGGACAACTTTCAGGAGTCTGTTCTCTCCTTCCACCATGTGGGTTCTGAAAATCAAACTCAGATTGTCAGACTTGGAAACCAGCACATTTACCATTGAGCCATCTTGCCATCCCTGCACCTTTGTTTTTTGAGACAAGGTTCTGAGCCTTAAGCACATCAATTCAGCTGAACTGGCTGATCAATGAGTTTATTGCTGTGGAACAATCTTTGTACACTGTAAATATGTATTACTCTCATTGGTTAGTAAAAGAGCTGACTGGCCAATAGCTGGACAGGTAGAGGTTAGGCGGGACTTGTAGACAAAAATAGAGCATGAAGAAGAAGGAAAAAGTCTTAGGAATCAAGGAGATGAATTTGCTGTATTGAAAAAAGTACTGCCACATGGTAGAGTGTAGATAAGAAATATGGATTAATTAAAATGTCAGAGCTAGTTAGTAACAAGCCTGAGCTACCAGCCAAGCATTTATAATTAATAATAAGTCTCTGTGTGGTTATTTGGGAATTGGCTGGCAGGACAAAAACGTCTGCCTATAACTTTTCTCCACCCTCCACTGCCACCCCCAGTGCTAGGGTATTAGTGGTACACTGCCACCTGTGAATTATCACAGAGATTCTGGAGATACAAATTCTGGTCGTGATGCCTGCACAACTGACATTATACCAACTAAGTCATCTCTAGTGTAAAACTTATCTTTTAATTGATGGATAATAATTGTGGGTGTTTATAGAGCTCAATGTGACATCTCTGAATACATGCAGAGCATATATTAACCAGATCAGGGCAATTTGTATAGCCATTGTTATCATTTCCTTGTGCTGGGAAAGGATAGTCCCAGCTTATTTATAAAAAGCCCTCTCCACCAGCTTATTTTCCTTTTAACACAACAATCCCTTGACCCAAATTAAAGTCCTGCATATAGTCCTATATTTTCTGTATCTGCTCTTTTCTGAATTAAAAGTGAAAGATCTTTTTTTTTTTTTTTTGGTTTGGTTTTTTTGTTTATTTGTTTGTTTTTGTTTTTGTTTTTGTTTTTCAAGACAGGGTTTCTCTGTGTAGCTTTGCGCCTTTTCCTGGAACTCACTTGGTAGTCCAGGCTGGCCTCGAACTCACCAAGATCCGCCTGGCTCTGCCTCCCGAGTGCTGGGATTAAAGGCATGTGCCACCACTGCCTGGCCGAAAGATCCTTTTTGTTCTAACAAAATATATGGACATTTTCTTGGTACAACCTGAACCAT